CAGGTAGGTTCAATTTTCGTAAAATTACGTAAAAAATTACGTTCGTAAAATTACGTAAAAAATTACGTAAAATTACGTAAAAAATTACGTAAAAAATTACGTAAAATTACGTAAAATTACGTGGTAAAATTACGTAAAAACCATCTAAAGGTGTTTTGAAAAACGGGTATAGGTTCACCTCAAACTTTTCATCGTTTTCTTAGAAATGAACTTCATTCCTTACTTTTTGTAAAAGGTTTTCCTCTTTCTTGTCCTTTTTTGAACTAACTTTTACTAAAACCCATAACTAGTTAGACCGGAGGTAACCAAATGTGCTTCATTAATTAATTCGAGCCAATCTAAATTCATAAGATCCTCGATAGGAACCCTAATAAGCTTCATCTCTTCATCTAAAGTAATGTTTCCTGATTGAAATGACACGCTGACAATTGCTTGGCGCGCTTTGAACCAGAAGGTTGTCATGATAATAAACTCAAATGAATAAATCCATTTCTCCAAAGATTTTGCGTCATTCAATAGATCAGCAGTTAAATCAAGTTCCTGAAGTTTCTGCAAAGAAAAAATAATTTCTTTATGTTGCTTAACCAACGGCTTCAAAGTCTCAATCCGTGCACTCCATCGGTTTTGTGAGTTTTAATGACGAGACAAACCAGTTCTCTTAGTCAAGATTTGACATTGTATAGGACTTCCACTAAAAAGATTGAAGAGTAACTGAATCCGGCCAAAATAGTTCTTCATTTCTACAGAAGATTCAAGGGAATGAGCAACAGCTAGGTTAAGGTTATGAAAACTGCATAGCATGTAGAAAGCTTCAGGATTTCTCTGAAGAATGATTGCTTTTACTTCTTTGTACACACTAGACATGTTAACACCGTTGTTGTACCCTTGACCTCAACAGTTCTTCAGATTGAAGAACTGTTGAGGTCAAGGGTAATTCATAATTATCTTGGCAATATCCACAAGTTTTTTTTGTTTAAGATTTTTGATCTTAAAAAAGGGCTCCTTAACTACCTCCTTAACAACCGTCTTTTATCAAAACCATTGTAGACAAAGCGGATAAAAAAATGCAATTTGCTCAGTATAAGAGACGTCAGGGGTTCTGTTGACAAGAATAAAATAGTAAATTACTATATTCACATCATTAATGATGGTACCGTGGACAATTCTTCCGCACTTTTTTATAAATACATTTTGGGAACTCCAACCCAAAAAATGCACAATAATTTGTTTACCTTCATGTTGACACCAGGAAACCTCTTTCTAATGTAACTAAACGGTCTTGTTTTGCTATGCGAGTAGCTCTAAAGTTGCAAGAAAATTGTCGTTATGTCACCATTGATCATTTTTGAAGAGTCTAAACGACGATTTTAATACATACATGTTTTTTTAAATAATACATGTTTACACATATAAACCATAACATATATATAAATATATATATATATATATATATATATATATATATATATATATATATATATATATATATATATATATATATATATATATAAATATATATATATATATATATATATATATATATATATATATATATATATATATATATATATATATATATATATATATATATATACACACAGGGCTGTGGAGTCAGAGTCGGATTTGCGGAGTCGTGAAGAGTCTAAACGACGATTTTAATACATACATGTTTTTTTAAATAATACATGTTTACACATATAAACCATAACATATATATATTATATATTTATATATAATATATATATATATATATATATATATATATATATATATATATATATATATATATATATATATATATATATATATATACACACACAGGGCTGTGAAGTCAGAGTCGGATTTGCGGAGTCGTGACACTTTTAGCGGAGTTGGAGTCGGAGTCGCTTAACAAAATCGCGACTCCAACTCCAACCTAGCAGCCCTTAAAAGTATTTTCCCGCAACGGCTTTGGCTAGTGTCAGATTCCCGAATATGAATTCGGCTAATGCTGTATTGTTGAGTAAACAATTCATTTTTAAATTACGAGAGTAAAGAGTTTTTCATTAAAGCCCTGTGTATCTATTTTATAATAAAAAAAAAGTTTTCATTTGTGCGCCCCTTCTGATCCTGCGCCTAGGTAAAAAGTACCCAGTGACCCTCTCAACGCGGCAGCCCTGTATATATATATATATATATATAAATATATATATATATATATATATATATATATATATATA